AAATAGGAATAAAATATAAATTTATCTTCCTTTACATCAAGCCTGGAGGTGCAAGATACTGAAAAACAGACCAAGAAGTTTAAAGACAGGGACTGTTAGTGTACTTTGCAGTTGACAGGAATGTACCTGATGCCTTCTGCAAATTCAGGCAGCCTCAGAGCTGATCCAGGTCTGTCTCTGTGGTCATAGCCCATTCAGAACAGAGCCACCGAAGCACAGCACGTCTCCACTGAGTGTGCCCTTTGACATTAATAACAGCAAGGATACCGCATCTCTTGGTGATGAAGGCGAGTTACTGATCTAGGCAGATTTTGCTCACAGTTGTATTAAACCATATGATGAATTATGTTCCTACCAAATGTTTTGCTTAAAAAAAAAAAAATCTAATGTTTCTGAGGCATATAAAGATGCAAAGTAATCAGACTGATGAACAGCAGTTCATGCGAAGTGACAACATTTCCAAAATTATTCTTCAAATACATTCCTGTACTTAAACTCTGTTAAGATGGAGAATCGATTCCAAATTTCCACTTTAAGCTCATATTTAATCTATTTTTATATTTTTGCATGGGGAAAAAGCCCATTTAGCTTGCAATTTCACCTAATTAAGCTTATGTCAGAAGATACTTCCAAAAAAAAAAAAAAAGTTGAAACTAGTTACTGAGCATTTCAGTTTGTCTGAGACAAAAGTTTCGCTCACTGACTTCTGGCTAAAACTGAAAAACTTAAAAACCCTTGATACATTTCTTCCATGCAAGACTAGACTCACATTTTTGAGTCCCTAAATCTCAGCAGGGTAAAGGTTAGCAGGTTAAATTCTTCCTTCAGTTACTCTTAAGTAAGCTTATTGACTACAACTGTTGTCTCCCAAAAATACATACATGTATATATAAACTTTATACATATGGAGGAATGCTGTCACAAGATGATGAGAATATCTGAATACCTTACAGAGAAGCAGTGCTCAGTACAGGAATTGGAGTCCCATCATATCCAAAGATTAAGTCTGAGGCAGGAATAGGATCTGGGTGGCTGCTGATGTGAGTCTGAGCTTCCATTTTAGGGTCTCATCAGCATGCATTAGATTTCAAGAGACTTCAGTGGAGTTCGAATGAGGTGCATGAGCTCTAGAGCATCCTGGTCCCACAAAGCACTAAATTTAACACTTCTATATAGTTCTTAACAAGTCTGGGAAGACATTCAGCCTCATTTTGAAAGAGGTGATGGACCTTAGGCATTATCTTAGTTCTGAAAAGCGTGTATGCATGGCAAACTAAAAGAGAGGTTACCACCAGCTCCAGATTCCTATGTAATAAACACTATTGTTACACTTTCAGGACAGTTTCAGTAATATCTAACCTTCAAAACAAACATATTTGTCTACTAAGTAGCTGCCTTCTATCTCTAGTTTTAAAGAGCTATTTAAAAAGGAAACAAAAGCAAACACTGCAGTAAAGAAATTCATAGATAAAAATAATCCTTGGACAACTGTTTGAGAGGTATTTAAAGGACAATATCAACTTGCAAGCAACAGCTTCAGAAACTGCCTTCTACAACAACTAAACACTTCAGATTACTAGAACCAGATCAATTTAGCAAAACAAACCAACCCCCTTCCCGTTGTTGACTTTGTGTGCATTTTGCAGCATTTTCTCTCTATAATCAGACTAAGGCCCTTGAAAATACCAGCAAGGGCGCCCTCAAATAATCCCACTAAAAAAGCAGGGTGTTTAACAAAACAAAACAGAAAAACAAAAAAAACTTTCTGTCCAGATTGGGGCCCCTCCGGGTTCCCACGGAGACCACCAGCATGCTTTGCTCTCTGCACACAGGCGGGAGGCCTGCTGCCTTTCCTCTCCCGCCGTTCTCCATTTCCCATTAAATCCAACTGCCGAAGAGGTAGACAGAAAACAAGGAGGGGCTTTGGAAGTTCCCACGTGTGTAACGCGGTATACCCACTCCTGCTGTTAGCAGGAGACGTCGTATCAGAGCTTTATCCAGGGCTCCTCACACCTCCCTTCCCCTCTACCGCCCAAGCCCTGCAGACACTCGGCGGGCGGCAGGCCGAGCAGCCCTCCTCCCGGCCGCCCGTCCCGCCCCGCCTGCAGGGTCCGCTTAGCTCGGGGCGGCCGCCGCGGCGCCCTCCGGCGGGCTGCGGGCTGCGGGCAGCGCCACGCCTCGGCCGCGCCTTATGGCGGGGGCGGGGCGCCCCGTGGGACCGCCGTAGGGGCGCTCGGGCGGCGGGCGGGCGCCTGAGGAGATGGCGGCGCCTACCTGCGCGCGGCGCGGCTCCCGCTGTGTATCCGCCCGCTGGCAGAATGTTAAATAAACCCTAGTGTTGAGAAAGGTGCCGGCGACGTGCCGCCAGGGCCGGGCACGGTGCTTTGACATCTCAGCGTGTCTCAGATCGGCCTTTATCACATTTCCACACTGTACACCAAACCTGAAGAAAACCTGTTGGAAGATGAGCGCAGCCGGAGATCTGTGCTCTCCCACGGTTACTGGTAGCGCAGCATTCTCGGGCAGAATTCCAATGGAGCTGCCACAGTCCCCAAAAACTTCACGTTGCTCCACGTTGATGCTCCTTTCAGTCCTAAGTGCACACTGGAGAAGGCTCGTGTGCTTTTTATTGAAATTGTTTCATTAATCCCTTTGCATATATTTAAGTGTGATGGGTTTGCATTTTAATAATACGCTGCTTTTGTGCTTTTAAACATTCAAGGTGCCGTGCAAGAATTGTAAACTGTGAAGTAACTACTATGGGAAAGATTAAGTAAAGCATTGGAGGCGGATGATTTTGACAATAAAGAGGGTGTATGTGGTGAGTGTTTAATATTTATTGTGTTTGATATTGCAAAGTACTATTTATTGTTTTCAGATTTAATGCTAAAAGCAAAGCCTGGAGAGCAAGCTCTGCTGTATTATGCACTCACAGGTACACCTGTGACAAAGGCTTTCTGTAATCATCATTTGATGTATGTAACACCATTTTAGTAATGGCATGCCATTTTATTTAAAGCTCGTGTGTCAGCTGTGCATACCTCGCAAATTTTTTTTTGCAATTAAATGATTTTCCAAAGAACCATGTACATTTCATCTCTTTACAAAGCATTTAAATTGTGGTCTTGGAATATGTGTCCTTGAAATTATCTAAGTTTATGTCTTTTACTTTTTTTTTTTTTTTCTCATTATAAAACCATATGGATTGAAGGAATATTCTGAATGAATGAAGAAAAATACAGTACTGTTGAATAATCTTGTGGTGTAGATTAATCTATAGCCTCAATTTCTCTCAGGGTGGGTTGCTGTGGCAACCGCCCCAGCTCACTTTAAAATAATTTTGTAAAGCTCACTTCAAGCACTGCACCCAGCGTGGGCCAAGTTTAAAAGCAGCCAGACATGGGAAGAAGTGTTATACTGTGTTGCTCTCACAAGATAGGGAGGTGGTGAAGGAGAGCGAGGCGTGGAGTGGGGGTGAGCAGAACTTTAAACAGAAAATAGAAACCAAGCCTCCCTGGGGTTAAGACGCAAAGGAGATGGATCATTTCATAGTAACCTCACTGCTTTTCAGTTTAAACGTCATTAAAAGATGTTATCCGTCAATCTCATTTCTCCTAAGGGAAAGATATGTTTGGTATCCACATAAGAACAAAAATGGACTTTGATAATCATCATCAAAGGGATGTTTTCTAAGCCCACCTTGACATAATCACATTTGTAAGGGGAAGAGATACTTGGACATACTTCGCTCTTTGATAAAACTTTGGAGATCTGATTTTTATAATTATTGCATTTTGACTGATGTGTCATTGCTGAAAACACTATGCTTCAGGTGCATTGTTGAGGGAAAAAAAATTGTCAGCAGACCTACATATGACCTGTCAACTGGAAGAAAAAAAGAAAGAAAGAAAGAAAGAAAACAGAAAGCAAAGGGGGCGAAAAAAAGCATAGATTTGAGGTTTTTTGTCAGAAATTTGGAAAGGATGCATTTGGGGAGCATCAGTACAAGTACAGACACCAGAACAAAGGTTTTCACTGTTTGAAATTATTCCAGCTTTTAAAATTAAATGCAGCAAAACAGAAAAAAAAAAATAATCCACAGTAATAACCTTAGACACTTCAAAAGATACTGCACAAATTCATTCCTTATCTAACCCTGATATGAGTGAGAAAGCATGATCCATTTCCTCATATCTGTTTGTCCATCTAGCATCTGAACCCTGATTTAAAAATTGAGGTATCCTTTACATGGATTTGATGAATTGTGCTCATGACAAAAACTTGGCACAGCTTTAAGGTACTTAAGTACGTGAAGGTCACAACTATTTAAAGATTAGGCCACCAGTGCCCACATGGATATGTAGTAAATGTAATAAGCTGCTGTATATTTTACTTTCTGAAATACTTGCCTATTCTGATAATTACTTTTAGGACATTTTAGTACTCAAGTTCTGTTTTACCAATTGAAGAGCTTTGTTATCAGCTAGCCAGAAAATTGGCAGTGTACATATCCTGCACACAGTAAAGCAGATGACAGTCATTTCAATTAGCACAAAAGCATGAAGCCTTAGCACGCTTTTACAGTTTTGCCACTAACAAAGTATGAGCACTAGTGGAAAGCTGGGTGCCGTGGTGGGAGATCAAAATGGTCTGCAGAAGTGGCATAGCAAGTGGTCAGTCCATGTAACTATTCCGTGCTCTTTTCTCTTCCTGTTGCACACTTCATGCCAAACTTACAGCTGAGAAAGTTTATCCTCCCCAATATTACCTGGACTTCACTGCTGACACATCCAAACTAATGTGCCTGTCACCACAGAGAACACACTTGGCTCATGCCTGGCTACCTGATGGTTCTAGGCATCAGTACGACTGTCACTGTGAGTGCATTTTATAACTTTTAACTGCCTGCCAGTGAAGAGATGTTCATTCTCTGTATCTAAATCTCATCAAGACAGAGAGTAAGGCACAGTGGAGACTTGTAGTTAGTAAAGGGTACTTACTCAGTAGGGATCTGAACTGAGAGCAATTGCTGGAGCTTTGTTTTGCTCTGACCATGCTTTGAACACCCGTGGTTTAAGAAGTACAGTAGAATTTAGAAGACATTTATTCACTGTCAAATGTGGAACTTCCAAAGTAGGTCAGTAGCCCAATGAGATGTTTGTAGGGGAAAAGTCTGCAAGACCAAAAACATGTATTAGAATAAACAATACATATATTTATCTCTGTTGTTTGAATTCGGTGTTTTGGTTTTATCATGCATGCTGTTCCTATTTTCAGTATCCTAATCTGTCAAAAAAAATAATGGTCTCTGCCTTAATAAACTCCCCTGCTACTCAAAGGGTTGTAGAAGTTGGCTATTTACAGGAAAATATAATCAAGTATCTTCAAAGTCCAGTTTTACTCACAAATTATTACATGTGCATAATTGGGATTCAAGCACACATGCAGTACAGACCTTTCAGTCTGGCTTAAATGCAACTGCACCTATAAAAAACACCCCGTCTTTTTACTCACTGTATTATGAATACTGCTTTTCTGTGGTTAAGAGTGACAAGAGCCTATCTCAAACAGCCGACTGAGATTTGAACCTAATTTGCCCAGTGCAATTAGGCAAACGGGGTTTTATCTGACCAGCGATTCCGTTTGCTGAAGGCGATGCTGCCCCAAACTTTGCCACCAGGTCTGCTTCTGCTCCGCGGTGAAGTCACCACCAACTGGACGTAAAGCCTAATGAGTTTGGAAAGTTGGGCGGCATTGCAGACAGGGGCCTGCGGAGACGGAGCCGGGCAAAGGTGCGAGGAGAAGGGGCAGGATACGCCGCGGGGGCTGAAGACCCCCAGCGCCCGCGGTCCGCCGCCGCTGCGGCGGTGTCCCCAGGCGAAACAGGAGCCGGCTGGCCCGGCGCTCGGTGCCGGCCCTCCGAGGGGCTCGCCGCCGTCCCGTGCGCCATCCGGCCGCCGGCCCGCCCGTCCCTCCCCGCCGCGGGGTAGCGGGGGGTGCCATGTCACTGCGCTCATCTCAACGCGCCTCCGCCCCGCGGCTCCCGCACGCGGGTTGCCGCGCTCCCTGCTGCCGCCGCCGGGTACCGGGCGGCCCTTTCCTATCTCGCTAGCCGCAAACTCGGCGCGCAGCGTCTGAGCTGACCCGGGCTGTGTCTGTCTCGCGGACATTGAGGGAGCTGCGTCCGCAAGCTACTGCACCCCGCCAGAAGGGGGAAAATACGCACCGGCTCGCCGTGTTGCCTCCGTTCGGTATAATAAAGGATTGTCATTAGGTTTGCGTTCAGCATATGCCATTACCCCCACCGTAAAACTAAAATTAGCAGAATGTCAGGAATGGAAAGATTGATTCACCCAAGATGCAATTATCATTTAAAAAGTGCTTGATTGAGGTGCTGATGTTCAGTGATTTATTCTGCATACCATATACATAATTAAAGTAGTGTAGTGGAGTAATTTATCAATCTAGTTTAGACTAGAGGGGCAAGGAAAGGAGCTGCTGCTGCTGCTGCTGCTGCTCTATGTTTGTTTTATTAAAACGCTTTCGGGATCTGATCCCGCCCCCTTTTTGCAAGAGTGAAACTGATTATTTCTCTAGCTCGGGAGGAGAGAGTCATTCGTTTGGGATCGTGAGAGAGAGAAATAGAGGCACAGAGAAGGAGAAGAAAAGAGAGAAAGAGGGAGAGAAGCAGACAAGGACACCTCGTCAGGCGTGTAGTTTGAATCCCTTCCTTGCCTCCCCCTTCCCCTCCGCGATGTTACAAAGGCTGTGAGCTGCTCGGCTTTTCCCATTCGCCTGCTGTCACTTCCTTCCTGGACGCTCTCAGGACGAGTCCGGTTACTTTTAATCCGACCAGCAGCTCAGCCACTTTCTCCTCCTCCACGCTGCACACACGCAGACACACGCGCACACACACACACACACACACCAGACGTCTTCTGGCTGCTTATTGGATTGACTTTGAAGGCTGTGTGTGTGATTCAAGAAGGCTGCATGTTGAACCGGGTGGTGAATATTTAAGGCTGGAAGAAGTAAAGGGATTTTTCTTTTTCCTGTGAAAGGAAAATATCTCAAGGACTAGTCTGATCATCCAAACAACTAAATGTTTATAATGTAAGTACATGTGAAATTCAGCATCGGAATGAAATACAGTGGGCATCGCGCAGAAGCCCTATGTACATTTTCTATTGCATTAGTAGAATGTGTCAGTCAGTGAACGTGGTGAGGGACTGAGGTTGCCTGCAGACTTTTAAGAGTATGGTTGTTCTGTCAATTGCTTGCAAGTAACTTTCAAGGCAAGTAATGTACTTAAATCACTGACTATTCAAATTATGTCTGAATTGCCTCTGTCCGCGTTGTGTTTAAACTTTGCTGGAGTTAGTTTATGCCTTTTGTATGGTTAATACTGTGAAGGTTTTGAAGCTTATTTAATTTTAACAGTTAGCAAATGCTATGACCTTGTAGTGCTTATACCCTGATTTTTTAGCCTGAGGAAAGAATTCAGACCCTTAAACTTCATTGTATTATAAGCTCTTATAACTTTGTGCATCTTTCTTTTGAATACTTAAGTTTGAGATGGAAAGACCCCTTGCACCCCTGGGGGAATTAAAGTCATAGGCAGTGTGCCTCTCTGTGAATAGTATGCTTTGGTCTTCACACTGTACTTTAAGTCATCCTTATACATCCTCCTTTCATACAAGGGAGCTACATAACTGCCTGTACTAGTTACTTTACAGTTTTTTACAGGCTGAGATAAAGTTTAATGTAAGTGGGAGACTATAAGACTATTGGTGCCTTATGTAATTGTAATACTTAGGATTTTCTGTAAAACTTATTGTGACCTCTGTCAGCCTGAAAAAAAAAAAAAGCATAAACATAAACCAGTAATTCCTTTTCTCAAAAATATTTTTAACTGTACAATTCCAAACAAAACTTGATGAATTATTGTGGGAAGCTAAGCACTGACTTTTATAGAAGAGTTATTTTATTTATTGTTTATCATTATTATTATTATTATCAGCGAGTACTTGAATCCTAAAATCAAATATGTATTACAACCTAAGACAAAAGACTAGCAGATAAAGGCAGTTTGTCACTATTTGACTTGTGATCAGAGAGGAATCGCTTTGACAGAGAATGCATTTTCTTAGCGTATATCTGATGATCAGCTTAATGGCAAATGTCCTAGTTTCATATCTCTACTTTAAAAGATGGATGATAAGCCAATTGGAATGTGACTAGTTTACTTTTTACCAGCACTTTCCAGAGTATTGTGGTTGAAAATTAAAGTTGTTGATATGAAGTATAATAATTCTAATCCCTAGAGGGATTGGCAGAGTATAGAAATAAAACCACCTGTGAGTCAGTGTAACTTATGTATTATATACTGATTTCCAGTTCAAACACTGGAATTAGGCGCCTTGAGGATCTGTTATCTTGTAAATTATTTTTGTGACATGATTTTAGGAATCTAACACCAAATCTAAAAAACAAAAAAAAAAAAACAAAAAACAGTTTTTCTGAGTTTATCAGTAAAATAAATGTTATATTAATGAATACATAATTTATATTGCGTCTAATACTGAAGTTTGTGCTAACACTTAAGTCCCTTGGGAAGTAATAGAAAATTTCTTTCAGGATAAAGTTAAGAGAATGTCTCTTAATTCAGGATGTCTATGTTGTTGTTATAATAAGCATCCTTTTACCTTAAACTTGCTGCTTATAAATATTTTTATTGTATTGCTACACCTTGCATAGCTTGTATTAGAAGGTAAATTAGGGACATGAATGTGAAAACCTTAATTCCTGCAAAAAGTGCTTAGCAAGTCCCACTGAGACTGCTGAGACAACTTGTGTGTAAATGAAAAGTCTCATAAATAATGATTTGCAGGATCAGGCCCCTAGAAAACCTCACAGTCTTGCCTGTCCCACAGCTCTGTTAGGAAAGAGGGCAAAAGAGCGTCCCTTTTTGGTGTCCTGTAATCCAGAAATCAGACATGTTTGTTTCTTCTTCAGATTGATTGAACAAGAAAAAAAGGAATCTTAATCTTAAGAGTCTTGTAGAAATTGGTCCTAAATGGTGCATATTGTGTGTGACATTAAATATTTTGGAGTTATGTTCCTTAGATGCTAATTGGGGGATTTAAGAAAAAAAATTATATGAATACCTACCTTGTGTGCATTTTCTTTAAATGTTGGGGTTTTTTTATAAACTCTCTTTGTCTGTGTACTTGCAACATGTATGTTTAAAACGAAGAAATAGACACCTTAAATAGCTGTGCTTTTTAAGACATCTAAAGCACTGTAGACAAAGAAACCTGAGTTTTCTTCAGCTTTTTCCAAAAGTTTACCTCTGAAAGTTTTTGATAACTCACGATTTAGTAGATAAATATAACTATAATGCTAAATACCTTAAGAACTGAGCAGAAGTCGTGAGCTGAATATTTTTGACATCTTCTTTTATTTTAACTTTTCTCTATAAGAGCTTAACTTTTTTTTCAGCAAAATAGTTCAGTTCATCTTAAGAGACAGCTAAGTAGTATTTCTGTATTCTCTTTAGCAAGAAATCGTGAGCTGGTATTAGGTGCTGGAAAGAAAAAGCATTTGTTTTTCAATATTTAAGTTCCTTTTCTACCTGTTGGATGTTATTATTTTAAGTTGTACACATTATCTAAAAATTAAATGAGATGTAGTGGTCTTCTTTTGATAACATGGGTTATAAAGATTTAATTCTAAAGATTATATAAATGCCATGCAGTTTTAAGAAGTTTATGGTCTCTGCTTCAGCATTTTGAAAAATAAGTGGAGTAGTTATACTTGTGGTGTATTTTAAGCTTTTTATATCTTGCTATGTGGTATTAACAGAAGATTTTTCTGTGTTCATGTTTAGGCTCTATAACAACTTATTCATATAATGTGCAAATTATCACATATGTAATATGTAGAAGACTTTTGCCTTAAGAGTCAGGATAGTATTCTGGTATTTGAAAGGGCTGAAAATACAATTTCTAACCTTACGTCTGAAAAAAAATGGACTTAGAAAAACAGCTCTGGTCAGTAAGAACTACTAACAGTGCTAGACAACTGCTGACAAAACAAAAAAATTCCAAATTTTCTACTTTTTTTAAACATCTGAATTGATTGAGCCCTGGGGCCAGCTTTAAGGTAATTTTCTCAGAACTGGCACACAATGTTGCATGTAGACAGGTGATTAAAAGCTAGTGTCTTAAGTCCTCCACCTTAATCTCACTCTCTCATTTACTGCAGTGCAGTAGAGCTTGTCTATTCACCAGGATCTGTCATCTTTAGGAAATCAGACCAGCTTATAGAGGCGATTCACAAAACCAACAGTGACAACAAAGTCTTATGTTCCTTACAAAGGAAGGATTAGGCAGTTCACATGTCATTTTGATTGGACAGAGATAAAAGCTGATTGCTGCAGCATGGCAAGACACACTTCAATTTCAATTGATTATTCTATAAGACAACTATAACTCTGTTGCTTAGTCATTGTTAAATGCAATTTGAAGGAAAATTCAGTTTTGACCTTAGTGGTTTTGTATTACTTGATACTATATTGTGGAGCCACTTGTAGCATTGTTATACAAAATTTTAAAGACACTTTTCATTCACCTCCCTTGGGAAATATAGTTAAAACATAAAATATGATTGCACTTGAATGTTCAAAAACATTTTTGCCTACATGATATCTCAAAGTATCAACTAAAATTTCTTAGAAGTGCCTGGGATGATACTAAATTCATAGCACTTGACCTGGTAAGAGCTTATGTGCAAAGGAGAGTACTGTGCGGATTTATCAGAAAGTATAATACTGAGGAACAAACAAGTAAGTCATCTTACTTTCTGTCTATTTAGTTATTTTTAAGTACATAATGTAAAGTAAAACTATACTTTGTGATGCATGCGTAAAATAGAGGTCTACTTTGAAAACAGTTGTGGAATGAAACGCTGTTCCTTTATGATTAAATTTTTTCCTTTATCCTTGAGAAGGAGTTCAGGCCATTTGCATAATTTAATTGTAATACTCAGCCTTTAACGTTTGGGTGTATGAAAATTTCAAGCTGATTACTTCTATGCTAATTTCTTGCCATTTTTCAAAAAAACCCTCTTTTTTTTTACCCAACTGATGCCTCCTAGTGTTCCACATAATAAAACACTAATGAGTCAACCATAAATGTAAACATTGTTTTTTCATTGCCTTCATCTTATGCGATACATAAAATTAATATTTATGTCTTTAATTTTGTGCGTGTTGTTATAATCAGACAGGAAACTCCTGTAAATTGAGATGTTTCATCTTCATGGACACTGAAAGCACATTTTGATTCCCTTTGACTCTTGCTTTCTCTAGCTGTAGATTATGTCATACATAAGAGTACATGTTCCTTTTCTTCTTTTGTTTCCCATGTACATCACAGTAACTTCTGAATAATTGTACTATGGGTCTCAAGTAGAAATTTTTAAAGTTTTGATAGGATTATGTTTCCAAAAGTGACCCCTATAACTGCAGTTTTAGAAATTTTTGAAATATCTTGAAGTGCCATGCAGCCATATAAAATGAAAAAGAGAAAGGACTAGTGTGAAACATGCCTGTTTAATACAAATCTTAAAGAATAGTTAAATCATCACATTTTGAAATTGTTCCTGGTTATTTCAATACCGTGTTTGGAAGAAACTCTGTTAGTACAGTTTTCAAATCCATGAAACATTCACTTTACAGTTTTGTTTGTACAATATTGAAACAGCTTGGAATGGTAAAGACTGAATTATAGTGTGCTTTTCTTACAAGTTTAGTCTGACTTATAACTTATGTGAATACCTGGAAAAAAAAAAAAACAACATTCAATTGTATTAGATTTATATCATAG